ACTCAGAGAGTCCAAGCCAGCTGACTGTGATTGGCCATTAATTAGAAACAACCACATGAGACCAATCTAAGATCCACCTGTTGCATTCCACAGCAGCAGATAATTATTGTTGACATTTTGTTCCTGAGGCCTCTTACCTTCTCAGGAGAAAAATCCTGGCCAAGGGACTTTTCAGAAAATATCATGGCTGCATGGGGTAGAGAGTTATATCTTACAGGCTGCCTTAAAAGAAGAGATACTGCAATCTCATGAAATCAGATCAACCAAAGCACTCCCAATCTATTAGTAAGAATTAACAAAGTCTGAACTTACATTTGCTATCTCAAACTTTGTACGTACATCCATCCATACAATACCACTGTGATTAACTACACTGACACACAGGTTTGCATAACTATTATTTTCTCAAATACACTGGAGTATGGTAGGGCAAAAGAAAACATTGATTGCAGTGTCTAAAGACGCTGCATGTGGGTAAATATTCTCTTTGTATTCACAGCTTTAAATAATAATTTACCTTTATCAATAAAGGTATTAAAGGTACTATCAATAAAGGTATTAGAGGTTCCCATCAACTCCACAGATCTCAGAGAGGTATTTGAAGGCTAGGTCTGAAGAAAGAGAGGTATTTCATTAGAAGGTTTCAGTTGCAGAATTTTCTGCCTGAGTGTTTGCCACCTGTCACCTCTGTTTACAGTGTCTATAAAATCATTTTCATGCTGAAAATAACTAACAACTACCTTCCATATTTGTTTATGGTGAGTCACTCATGCCAACTCCTGCTGAAGTCAAGAGCAGATTTCTGAATATAGCAGGAATAGGATTAAACCTAAAAGGTCTACCAGTGCTATCACTGAAATACTAATTTGTGTGTTTTCTTATTTTTGAATCAAAATACAACCATGGCTTTTAATGTTGGGTTTTTGCAGCTGGTATGCAGATGCAATAATCACAGAACTGAAGTCATTTGAGATTACAGAAAGGTTAAAAACTATGCATGGGAAGGTAATAACAGGAATTTCTAACTAATAAAAAATGGTTTGTCCTGCAGCCTTGAGGTCATGTCCTTATACCCTTCCTAAAAGAAAACCTATTCATTGAGCTTGCATCATCATCCCAAAAACATGTTTAAATGAATTGGAACTGTTGATTAGCCCATGTCAATGAGTACCTTCCTTTTTCTTTCTGCTGACTAACTCTGATTCAATTTCAAATCATAAATCTTTCAAGGAAAAAATACACCATGCAGAGGAAACCCCAAGGCATAGGCTTCTATACATGGTATTGCCAATCCCTGGGTGACTGCAGCTCCTGCTGGCTTCCTACATCAGACACAGGGCAACTTCGCTGGCTGCAATATAGACTTTCCTAATACTGGTGACATTTTAAAAATCCAAAGACTGCTTGTTTTAAAAGTCCTAAAAAGAGCATTCTGAGTTCCTGATAGCAAACATAGAGGCACTAATTTGGTTTGGGAGAGAAGGTGTTTGTGCAGTTGGATAACAGCCTGCATGTTGACATGTCTGGGGGGATTTATATGTTTGCACTCCCCTTGTTTGAGGCAATGAGCGCAATGTCACCTGTGCATACCTGACACCATGGTTTAAGACTGTATGCCTTGAAGGTGTAAGGTGCAATGCTTTATTTGTAATCAAAGGGGAAATGTATCTAAACTTGTTAGAATAAACAGTTCCTTTGCAAATAGACTGATCTAGAAACTCTGCCATTTTAAGGAGTAAAATCCCAAGGTTATAAGGAAATTGCACATATGCTTTTCATTGCCTTATAGAATTTTCTTGGACCCGATTTCATTTTTCTGGAACATGACTTGTACACCTGCAAATACATTCAAAGGATCTTGTTAAATTTATTTCAAAGGTATTTCAGACAGCAGGAGTAGCAGTAACATCTTTCATTTCAACAATGCTTGGTTGGTTTCTTTTGTACAAAACCCCTAGGCTACTCATTTCCTTAAAATAGGATTTAATTTATACAGAGATATGTTATTGTTTTAGTCTACAACTGTTACTCAGAATGGAATTTTGCAAAATGAATGCTCACAGCAGTGCTTTGACAATCTTAAGTACTGCAGCATTTTAAAGAGATAGCTGTCTATTCCAATAGATGTGGAATAGAGACCCCAACACCTGTGACTTCCTTTCTCAGTTAAAAAGAAAAGGAATAGAGAAATAGCTGGGTTTTACCTGTGTGTCTGGATATGAAGCCATGTGAGACTTTTGAATGGCTCCACACAAGTTTTTCAAGTTTTCTCAGAGCGTCTGGGTTTCCCAGCCCCAGGACCACCACTGGCCGGTTTTATTGGTTTTGCATGGCTTAAGTTTTGGAGAGGAGGAAAGAGGGCAGCCACCAAAGTGGTATTTCTCTGAGGAGCTGCTACAAGCTGTCTCCGTGCTGGCAAAACCAATCACTGACTGGCTCTGGAAACAGGCCCACTGCTGAACCAATTAGAAAAGCTGGTGACGCCTCTGGGACAACATATTTAAGAGAGGAAAAAAGGTGCAGGAAGCTTTTTCTTTCTTTCTGCCTTCCGAGGGGGGCTGCGGGGACAGCTGAGCCCCTTCCCGGGGGGTCGGGGGCTCTTTGCCATCAGGGCGGCCGGGCCCTGCTGCCGGGGCTCATCCCAGCGCCGCGAGCAGCTGCGGCCAAAGCCGGGAGCGGCCCTGGGGGCAGGAGCAGGAATGGCCCCGCTGCCTGTGCCGGGAGCAGCCCCGGGACCGGTGGCAGGAGAGGCGCCACGGCCGAAACTGAGAGCGGCCAGGGCCGCAGGAGCCCACGCAGCCACCGCCACCTGGGCACGGCCCGCGACACACTTTGCCTGCCAGGCCACCAAGAGCCTGCCGCAGCGCAAACCAAAGGACAGAAACCTTCTTAGCAGGACCACTCTCTTTGTTCTCAAGGCTAAGACAGCCATTTGCATGCATTAATCACTGCACTGGGGGAATAGAAGGCTCAACATTGTCTGGTACAGCTAAAGGAATTCAGCATTTGTTACAATTCAACTTTTTCTCAATACCTTCCTTCTCTGGGAATTGCTCACAAGCATTTCGTCAGTGCACCACAAAAACAAATGCTTTTGCTGATTGAAGCTGCATTGCCTCTTTCCTTCAGAAATTATTGAAGAAAACACAATCTGCCTTCTGAAACCCTTCTGCTCCCTTCTAAATCAATTCACTACCCAAGCACAAGCCTCAGGCTCATCCCTGATTCCCTCTGGGAGATAGGAGGTAATATTTTGCTGCAGCCAAAAAGTTATTAGAATAAAGAATGAAAGTTGTTGCTGCTAGGTGGTGTTAGTTATGGTTTGCATTTGTTCCAGTTATTTTGGTGGGCGTTGCTGTGAGCTGGAAAAGGAGAGGTGTTGAGCCCCAGACCAAAAGGGATGTAGGAGAAGAGGAGAGAGGACAGAAAAGAAGGCTGTCAGAAGGGAACAGAAGTTCCCCAGTACCTAGCTAAAGGGAAAGGGGACAGGGGTGGCCCAGGACTGGGAAAAGCAATAAAAAGCAGCATTATCTTGGCTTGTGTGTATGTTCAGCTCTCAGGAGAAGGAGATACACAGCTGGCTCAGTTGAATCTTTACTAAGAAGGTTCTCTTTTGCTTAAATGACTTTGTCTCCATTTAATTGTATCTAGGAGTTTGTTTATTCTAACACCTCTCTGCCAGCAGCTCAGAGCTGCATTGCACAGCACTTGCTGTGTGCCAGAGAGCACAAAGCAGGCTGGCCTGGTGGGCCTCAATATTTCTGCACAACACTCTGCATCTCACACCTTTGCTCTGGCTCAGTGCAGAACTGCAGGATTGCAGGCGCTTCCTCCCAGAGCTGCGTGAGGCGCTGGCTCCTGCAGATGTGCCCTGCCAAGCTGTCCCTGCCTCACGCTGGCCTTGCTTCCCCTGGCACAAGTGCCGGCCGGGCCTGAAGGAGGCTGCCCTGTGCTCCAGCCTGCCGAGCAGCCCAGCTCCCTGCCCTGGTGCCCAGAGTGCTGCACACACTGCTGACCTTTGCCAGGAGTTGCAGGGCAGCCGGCAGAAGAGGAGGAATCCTCAGGCAGCCCAGCGGCCCTCGGCTGCCCTTGGCCTTTCTCTGCTCCTGGGCACACTCCAGACAGCCAATGCCTCCAGGCTGGGCTGTGCCCAGCACGGCTGCGCTTCCCCTCGGGAGCAGCCAGCTGCCACCTGGGCTCTGAGAGCGGAGGATTCGCCCGCTCCCAGGAACAGGCACCCAGGGCCCGGCTGCTGCCTCTTGCAGCTCCAAGGGCCTCCTTCCAGCCTGCCTCTGCTGGGGCTCTCTTGGGGCTCCACCCCGGGCAAGCCGGGCCTGCTCTCACCTCACAGGCGCTGACAGCTCTGCACCACAGGAGACCTTCCCGAGCACCCTCTCTGATCCTTCTGCTTTCTCCCTTGAGCAAGGCTTTCCTCCAGCCAAAGAGATTGCTTTTCAAGATCGAAATCCAAGTGGCAGAAGCCCAGATGCTCTCGAGTCACAGCTGAAGGCCTGAATCTGCACAGGATGTCTTAGCTGCCCCACTCCTCCTTTGCTTTTTCCTGAAAATGCCATTGCCCTATCTACCTCAACTAGAAGTGTCACAGATGTGCCAAAACCAGCCAGTAGGTGGTATTCCAAAGGCAGTGTGGTCTGGAGAAGATGAATGAAGAAGAGCCTTCCTCACTTATGAAGTCATAAATATGACTTAGCACCCATAAAAAACAACTGGTAATTCAGGAAATGTTGAATTTTCTGAAGGGGTCAGAAGGAGGAGAATCTTCCAAATGAGTTGATGTTTCAGCAACTTTATTTAAATACAACCCTAATCTATAATCCTGTTCTACAAAACTCTTCAACAACCTTACTCTACAATCCTGCTCTAAATTGGTAACAGAGGTAACATCTTGACATGATTGTTACATTCTCATCTCCTAGAGTTAGGGTTAGGGTTATGGTCAGGGTTAGGGTTTTGGGTTAGGGTTTAGGGTTAGGGTCCTTCTTCTTCTTGACTAAGTTGATGAGTTGTGCCAGGATGGATGCTGGCTTGGCTGTTGTTACAAATGGATGCTGTCCACCGGGAAAAAAAAAAAAAACCACAAAGAATAGTGAACCATTACTTTCCAAGCTCAGTGCTTCAGAGACTCAATCAGGATACATCTAGTTCCTAGCAAGACCCAGAAAGAGGAGCAATGGGACCATCGACTCCCCAGTCATGCCCAATGTGCAGGACCTTGCCATCACAGGCAAATGTGGCCCAGAATCCCACTCATGTGTTCATTGTGATATCTTGCTGGGATTTTTGCCCTGCCAGTGCTCTAGAAATGGTGCCTTCTGTCCCTGGGGTTTCTTCCTTTCAGGAAACTCCAATGACTCACATAGGTCCTTGCCTTTGCAAGACAGGTTTTTATTTCCACAGGGAGACAGAGCAGTGTCTACCCTTCCATGCCCTGCCCCTCGTGTGCTGGACGGCACCTTCCTTCCCAGCAGGGCCAGCGCAGTGGCACTGGGTCTTGCAGTTCCCTCTCTGCCACACAACCTGGCAGTAACCCTGGCACAGTTCCCGTCTGCCTGAGCGTGCCAGGCAGCAGATGGGGTTGGGACAAGTCCTTCCCAGCTGGCCCTGTTTGCATGGCAGAAACCTCTAAGGGTGGGCTGGGGGGCACAAACCAGGGCCCCTCAGAGGCTCACAGTGAGTCCCCCACAGCCCCTCCTGCCCACAACCAAATCTTTGACTGCTCAGCTGGGACTGGCTTCCTTGGGTTCCTGCACCACCATTTCATGTGTCTGTACCCTGCATTGCTCTACTTCAGTTATTTTGCCATTAGATAAAACTGAACACCCAACCAAATTGAAAAAGAGGGCAACAGGAACAGAAAACAGAGCATCTCTCCTCTGAGGAAATGCAGAGAGAGGTGGAGTTATTCAGTTTTGTGAAGAACAGGCCCCAGCAGACTTCATTGCCACTTTCCAAGACCTCAGAGTGGTTTTAAATAAAGTGGGGGACATCTTTTTTAACAATGCCAGTTACAATAGGATGTGGGTGAATATTTTTAAACAAAATGAGGATCAAGTCAGAGTAGGTCTAAGGAAGAACTTGTTTACTCGGAGCCTGGTGCCACTCTGGCACAGGTTGCCCCAAGAGCTTGTAGGTGCCTCATCCCTGCAACCATTCTGGCTCAGATGGCAAAGGGCTCTGAGCAACCTGATCTCTTTAAAGATGTCCCTTCTCATTGCAGGACACTTGCACCAGAGGACCTTTACAGGGCCCTGCCAGCCCAGCCCAGTCTAGGATTCCTCAGTGTTTTCATTTGAAGAGCTCCAAGAGTGGAGGTGAGGAGGAAGGGCGCTCATCTGATCCTTGGACTTGAGTGGAGGAGGAGCCCACCCCTCAGAGCCTGTTTCACCTGCAGCCCCTTCACATTTTACCTGCAGGAGCTCCTTGGCAGACCAGCGCTGCTCCTCGTCTCTCTGCAGGCAGCAGCTCAGGAAGTCATGCAGGCAAGGCGAGAATTGGTTGGGCTGCTGCAACTGTGGGGTCCCTTCTGTGGCTATCAGGCGTTGAGCCTGGAGAAAAAAACAAACATGAGGCTCCACCTGCTGCTTTCACGTTTCCAAGGCTCTCCCACATCCTTTTGTTTACCCTCTGTTCTTCAGTGGTAGTTTCTGCCCTGGCAGAGACCCAGAGATAATTTTCCTTTACCAACCAGAAACCCAAACCCCGATGCAGCCACAGCTTTTCCACCATCCCGCAGATCTTGCCTTGGCGGCTGATTTCATTGACTGACCTAGTTAGTGGGAACTACATCAGCAAAAGCACATTTGCTTCTCTGAGAATTCAAACCGGCTTGAGAGGCTTTTTGGAAAAGGGACTGTGCTATAGAAACTCATTCCAAGGGTTAGTACATGAAAGGCACCTCTGCAGTGCTTGTTGGTGCTTTAAGCGCACGTGCCATAGAACAAAACTCATCAAGCTTTTTGTGCTGTTCTTGAAAACAATGAGAATTGGAAGGAAAGTAAGGAAATCCATCAGTTAATCCCCAGGTAAGGAAACAAATATTTACAATCTCATCTTCAACACAGACACATTAAGATGCCTGCACAAATGTATTGGGATGAAAATGCCTGCTTAGGCAAAAAGGAGCCACCTGCAGCTCTGTCTCTCAGCAGTCTGAAAATTGCAGCTTCCCATTTTGCAGCAAAAGAAAAACTGTCATGGTCAGAAGAAGGAGAGGTGCCATGCCTGTGGTCACCCTCTGCTCATTTGGCTACTCAAGTCAATACATTAATGGTAGACCCATCCCAGAAAGTGCCAGGAAACAAATGGCAGGCTCTCCACATCACCAGGCTCTGGCTTGGTGACACAGAGAATGTGCCTTTGGCTAGGAGAGAAACACGGTCGCTGAGTGTTTCAGCAGCACTGCAGAAGAAGCAGAAGAGACTCTGTGGCCTTTACACTCTCATGCCAAGGTTTCAGGCATGTTTCCAAAGTGAGAAGAAACTGCACAGTGGGTTAAGTTCCTTTCTAAAGACCACAGCTTTTGAAAGTTTTTGAAAGTTTTAGAAACTTTGTTGGGTTTGGGTTTCCTTCCTTCATTTCTGGAAAGATACAAGCAGTTCCAAGACGCTTGTTTCCTGTTACTGGGGCCATCTCCACAGACAAAAGAACTGGAATCACTTATAACCCAAAGGAAAGTGTTGCCTGAGAATGGAGTTTGTTTGCATGTGTAAGGCTTGAGTTCCCCCACTGATGTATCCAAATTGACAGCAGATGCTGATGTGCTGCAGGCACATTTTTAGGAGGGGACCTTGGTAGAAGTAGTTCCAGCAGATGGCCATGGGATTTTGTCCAATGGCATGCAGGACAAGGGACAGATAAGAAAGACAGTGGGATCAGTGAGTATTTGCCCCTTACCGAGGTATGACTTTGGTCCCAGTAAGGAGGTTCTTTTTCTACCATTTCAATCCCCGCAATTCCAAAAGACCATATGTCCACTTTGGGGCCATATGGTTGACCTGTGACCACTTCAGGTGCCATCCACCACGGAGTCCCAGCTACCAAGCACGGTCTGCTCTGCTCAGGGGTGAGCTGAGTAGAGAGGCCAAAATCAGCTGAGGAGAAAGCAAAATATTGGTTTTGTTTGAATTCTGTGCAATTAGGAAAGCAGGCAAAAGAATTCCCCAGTAGAAGTTTGCTGGCATTGGCGACTTTAAAAATCCCCATTTTTTACACTGCCTCCAGCAGTGGCTTTTGTTCTTTGGAGTCTTTAGACTTGTAGCTCCCTCCCTCTGGAAGGGGCACACAGAGAGCAAGGCCACTCTTGACTGCTTGTTCCTTGTCCTGCCTCTGTGCACGTTGCAACTGTGCCCTCAGCTCACAGCGGGTGTCCCTGCACTGCCACCAGCACCATTTTTCGGGAGCTGGCTGTCACTCCAAGCAGCCCCACACCCACATCCCTGGAATGCTGCACCTGACCAAGAATATACTGACTCAGCTTGACAGAACCGTTGGTTCTGAGAAGGATGTTGTCGCTCTTCACATCTCGATGGATCACATGGTTTGAGTGAAGAAAATGCAGTCCTTGCAGGCACTGAGAGAGAAAACAGAAAGAGGAGGGCAAAAAGTGTTGTGATTTCAGCACACAAGAAAGGCAACAAAGAATCTAAAAGATTCCCTCTGCAGGGGAATGGGCAGTAATGGCAGAACACAGTGCCACTGTGAGGACGAGTTTGCTGCTCCAACACTTGCAGAGCAGGACCTTTCTGAGGAAAGGCATGTCAGCTTTTGAAAGAGCAACAGCACCTGCTCTTTGTCCCCTGCAAACCAGCCGGGATGACTGCTGCTGCAGTGGACATTGCTCAGAAGCAAAGAGCATTTTGGCTGCACTCCTGTCCTTTTTAGCTGAGGACTGAGAGAAACGAGTCTCTCTTTTTTTTCTTTGCTGTTTCTTTCAAATCCTGCCACCAGCACCTTTGCTTTCACCGGAAAGGGATGCAGTGAAGACAGGCAAAAGTTTAGGGAAGCAAGATGGAGAACAGCAAATACAAGAGACAGAGCGAGAGTACAACAGCTGGAGAGAAGAGTACTGGCACTGAGTACAGGGAGTGCAGGGGCACTGGCAGGCCTTTCACTTGAGATGCTTTTACTTGCCCATAGCATACCAGTCACACAGAAACCAAGCTTGGCACATGAAATCACTCCTGATCTGAGCCCCTGTTTCCCAGACAATCCTGCCCAAGCCCTTGGAAACACAGATGGGATTGCTGACCTCCCGACTGATGGCTGCAATGTGATATTCAGACAGGCAGGTCTTGTAGATGATATCACTCAGAGCGCCTCCATCCATGTACTCCATAACCAGCCAGAGTTCCTCGCCCACAAGGTAGCTGAAAGAAGGAAACAAGGGCATGGAGATAAAAATGCATGGCTACCTTAACTTTTTACTTGCCATTTTCTTGTTTCCAGGTTGCTCTGTGACTAGGACAGAATCAAAGGAATAGAGAATCTGCAGACTGTGCAGTCTGGAGGAGAAAGGCACAGCTGTGAAATAGGAGATGTCTTAGATGGCCAGCAAGTGAAAAATGCAGTTTAGCAACAGCCCAGATAAAAATTCTGTCAGGCATGGTGTTTCTGGAAATAAGCACATAGTATTCCTGGCATGCACAGCAATGGCAAAGAGGGGCAACAATCTAAGAGAAATCTACTTTAGGGTGGTTCATCAGCATTTAAGAGTCTTTAAAATTCCTCCCAAAAAAATGTAGAGGCAGTGGACTTTGAGTGTATTGACTTAGGAAGATACAGCTGATCCAGGTTTTGAATAAGTTTGGAATAATTTTCAAACGATGAGTGGCAGGGAAAACTCATGCAGACAAGATGCACTCTCTTCTCATCCATTGGAGATGAGTAAAGAAATATGAATACATAAAAATTAACAGCTCTACTTTCTGCCACTAACCCAAGTAGGTTTTTAACCTCTCATGTTTGCTGTATGTAAATGCACATCCATGGGATAACACCATGACTTCTCACCTGTCTAAATATTTCACAACATTGGGACTCCTACACCTCTCCATGATCCTTATTTCATTAATGATTAGTTCCTTCCTCCTCAGTCCTTGAAGATTTATTTTTTTTATGGCCACCTAAAATGACATTGAAAATGAGTAACTTGAGCAGTTGGTGGCACGAGACTACAACACACATGGAGAGAGTGATTTTGCAATGACACAGCTGAGCTGTGCCGAACTGCCTTGTGATTCGGCACTGCAGTAATTAGGAACTGACATTTCCAACAGCCCATTTCTCTGCTCCCTTGGGGGCCAGTTAGAGGATACGTGGGGCCGCTGGCATTTTGCCTTGTCCACTTGGTAACAGTGATGTCTCAGCTACCACTGACAAACCTCTAACCACACTCTCTGCTGCTTTGTTTGGGATTCAGAAGTAATGCATGCCTTATTACTGTGTGGATACATCTTGGGCTATGGGCAGGGCTTAGGGCTTTTAGGGCACCTTGCAGATCTCTCCCTACGTGCAGTTCCCAAGTGCAGCACTGCAGGTGGCTAAGGAACTGCCAGTAACTTTCAGATGGATTTGCTGACAGTCAGAAAGGAGAATTCAGGACTCTGAAGCTGTAGCCCCAAAGAGAAGTGAGGTGCTCTAAGGCACCACCTCTGTTTTAGCAATGGAGAGTGAGTGAGCACGTCCTTCTCTGAAAGGAATCGCTGCCCTCCGTGCCTTCCTTCTGGCAGCTGAGGAGGACAAAGTCCCAAATGTATTTTGCAGGCAGGAACCAGTTTGTGCTTCTTGTCCCTTTTCAGCACAACTCTACCCAAAGCTCCAGCCACAGCCCGCACCAGAGGGGAAAGCCCCTCAAGAGCAGCAGAGTCTGCAGGGGCTGTTGACATTTACCTCTCTCCCTGTGGCATTGTTGAGTGCTCTGACCACATCTCCAAAACCCCTAGAAACAAAAAAGAAGAAGAGAAATGAGAAGCCATTTAGATCTTTCAGTGAAAGCCAGCCCACACAGGAGATGTGTGCTGTAAATGCCTAAAGCCTGCAGGATGCAGGAGGGCTCTGCCAGAAAGCAGATGATGCATTTTCCTCTCAAGTGCATGGGCACTGGACTTGTTCCTGAAGCGTTGGGGTTCAACTTCTAAAGAGAGATTCTTCTTTTGTCTTGGGTTTCACTTTCTAAACTGTGTGGTTCCTATCCTGACCACAGAGTATTTCCTTCTGCAAACCAGGGGAAATAAATGTTCCTGGGAACTGTTATCTTAAAGCTTTGATCGGGTAGGTTGCTCTTTCAGGCAAGCAAGATTCTTCTCTTTTCATTAGTGTGCCAGTATGATTTTGAGACATACAAAAAATGCTAAAGAAATTAACACAGAGCTATCCCACACTTGAGAGACAAGGAGATCTTCCAGGTCCTGTTCCTTGATGCAGGCAAGACCTTGGCAGCATGGAAGTATCTCTGACGATGCCTTCTGAGCCCACTCAGAAATTCTGAGCACCACTGATAGATGGGACAATCTGTCCCCAGTGTGTGAACATCTTTGCAGCTGGCCGGACTTCACACTGGATAGATATTCCACCAGCAAAACACCTGGCCTGTGGTTCAGTAGAAGTGACTGTGGTTGGACTCACCCGCTGCCAATATGCCCCAGTTCGGTGTATTTTATCATGGGATGTATCTGGTTCACCATTCTCCCTGAGGGAAATAAAATGCATTAGCTGACTTTAAAGCAGAGATCCCAGCTTCCAGGAGATACAAAAGGCAGCCCCACTGTCTGGGGCTCTCAGCCCTTTGTGGTCAGCTCGGTAACAACAACCAGAACAGCAACAGGACAGGCAGCCGTGCAGTGCAGATGGCTGGCACAGAGGCTGATTTTGTACAGTCCCTTGAAGAGTTCTCTTGACAGGAAACAAAGCACGGGGAGATGCAATTCCAGGAGAGAAAGACATCTTCCCCACCTTTCAGCAGTTTGCCAAACCAGGGCAGCTCAAACTATAACCAATCCCAATGGGGCTTTCAGCATCAGGACCCTGACCTCTTTATGAGCAGGCTGAGCTCCAAGATGCCCCTCTCCCAGCTAGGGAAGGCTCCAGCCTCTGCAGTCCCCTCCAGCCCTCAGGGACAGGGCAGCTAGCACAACAAGGCTGGCAAAGCCCAAGCATGAGCACTGACAAGCAGTGGGAAGAAGCCACAGCCAGCCTGAGCCCTGTACAAGCTGTTGCCCTCATTCAGGACACAAGAGGATGGGCCTTGAGATCAGCCACACCAAGGTGCGGATCAGTGCCCTTTTGGTCCCAACAGGTGATGGTAGACACAGAATCCCCTGGGCTCTGGTCTCAGCCCCACCAGGTCTTATCTGAGAGCACAGCACTGGCAGCTGTTACGGGCAAGAGGCAGATTCATTGGGTTGTGCTGCAGAATCACAAAGGGCTTGATGTGTTTTCCTAGAGACTGATCTGAGCAGGGCTTGGGTCAATGGCTAGGATTCTAACAGTCATGGGAAAGAGTGGGAATCAGGTATGGAAAAGTGCCATGGATCTGAGGAATATACCATGGCTGGGCTGGAGGCTCTCTCCTGACAAGTGCCTGCAGTACAGTTTTATCTGATCATGCCACTTGGATGTGTCTCTTGGACACATCTTGATAAGCATAAAACTAGAAGATTAAATAAAAGTTGTTAGAAAAGTGTTGAGTTTTTCTTTAGGGGCACATGGAAAACACTTCCTGCTCTCAATTTGTCATGTAACCTAATGTTCTTTCAAAATAGATCATATTGACAAAAAGATAGCATTCTCATGAAAATAAACTGCAGCAACACAAAATCAGTGGTAACAGTAACAGTCATAAAAATGCCATCAGTAAGATTGGGGACAGAAGGGCTCTTTCAGGCTGGAGAAAAACCAACTCCACCAAAAAAGCCCCATAAACCATCAAAACAAAAAAACCCTAAACCACAACAAATAAACCCCACAGAAACAAAAAACAAAAGGCCCCTACAAAAATTAAACACAAAAACACCCCCCCCCCCCCAAAAAAAATCCCCAACCAAAAAGACAAAACTCCAAAGCCAATCCATTTCTGTGAAGTTGTTTTGCTCTGATGACTGGTTGGAAGTCAGGAGTCTAAGGAGAATTTAGGAAGCTGAAAATTCTGTGCAGTTTGGCCATGAGCACACAGGACTCGCCTAGATCATTTGCAAGGTCACAGGCTTCTGCTGATCCAAGAACAATCCCTGCTTCAGCCTTTAGCAGAGAGGGAAGCTCAGGCAAACCCAAGCCAGTCCAAGGTGCCCTCAGAGGCAGCAGGAACACCCAGAGCGCTCTCTCGCTGCCTCGGAGCAATGCCAGCACTTCCTCTGGGGAGTCCGAAATGGCCCTGTGACACTCAACTCAGGAGGAGCATTTGGTACAGCTCTGCTGACACCTGCACACAACACACTGTCCCTCAGACAAGCAACACCCCAGACATACCCAGCATCTCCAGGTACTTCTCCTCGGTCTGCTGTTTTGGAGAGTTTAAGGAACTGCCCGAGCTCAAGTTCCCTGGTTTGAGAGAAGAGCTTCCTCGAGGTGATGCTGCTGCGACAGCAGGTTCAGAGCCCATGATGTGCTGGACCTGGAGCACTTCTGGTGGACACTGTTCCTGTGCCTCACTCCTGACTTGGGGTCCTTCATTGCCAGATATTCGCTGGAAGTCTTCACAGGCTGCCTGGTGAGATGTCAGCACTTGCACCTCAAATGAAACAGAACAAAGCAGTCAGACACTACAGCTTGTCCCTGTCAGCCAGGAGTCATTAACTGTGAGGAAAGGCAAAGAACAGATTGACAAGGGATACAGACAGCTTGTTTCAATCCTCCATCTGGATCACCACGTTCTACTGTAAAAACACCTCAAGAAAGAAGGGGAGAGCAGGAACAGGCCAGCAGGAATCAATTTGGATGACTGCTGGCCAAAGGGCCAAAGGACGAGTTTCATTGTCCAGGGCAGCAGTTAAGACTCCGCACAACAGGAAATGTCCTTCAGAGTGACTGTGATACCCACTACAGCAGGATGGCACTCAGAGGCATGGCCCCACTCCCTGCTGCTCTGCAGTGTCAAAGGCAAGAAGGGCAGAAACCACCAGTTTGGTGACTGCAGTGACTGCATCCCTCTTTTACTCACTTGGTCTTCTAGAGCCTGAGGGAGGCAATTAAGTTTCTCTCTGACGCTTTTCATTTCTTCCTCCAGCCTCTTCTCTCTTGCCTTGTTGGTAGCCTCAGAGTCCTGCAGCTCTGCCTGCACGTGTCCCTTGATAGACTGTAAACAAGAAAGGAGAGGGCATTTCATGAGTGGAGTGGCTGCCACTCTTTCACTCACCTGGTTTTGTTGATCGCCCCTCTGCTGATGGAGATTCTCCTCTTGAATTCTTCCCATGTCTTCCTTGTTCCTCCTCTTCACTGTCATGATGGCACTCTGAGCTTGGGGCAGCTCTGCTTGTGGCTCTGCCTTGATGTTCTGTGCACACAAATGCAGAGCAAGTGACTGGGAGCTGCCATCAGGCTCAGCTTTTTCCTCTTGCAGCCTCAAAATCACATTTATGCAGCCACTTCTTTCTGCTTCCCTCCCCACATCTGCTTCCAATGTAACCCTCCTGTCCCAGGGCTGATCTCTGCAGATTCCAAGGCTCTGTGCTTCCAGTGCCTGTGGGATTCCTGGCCTCCTCAGTCCCAAGAGCTCTGGTTTATGCCCCTCTTCCTGCCCTTTCTTCTGTCACCTGGCCAGTCAGGCTTACCTGTGCCTCTTCCACCTGCTGCCTGAGCTGCCCTTCCTGCTCTCGGGCTGGGAACAGCTCTCCCTGAGTCTGGCATGGCATCTCTGATGAAGCAGTCTGCTCCTGCTCTCCCTCTAGAAGCACCTGCACAGAAAGCAGGAGAAGATGGGTTTCAACTTTCCATATGACATTTGTGGGCCAAGACTCAAAGACTGCTGGGCTCATACGTTCCCAAAGCACTGTGCTGCTGCTCTGCTGGGTCATTCTCTGTTTGAGTGGAGGCACAGATTCCAAAGTGGACCTAGCCCTACAATCAGGGGCCATCTAGAAATTAAGCTCCAGACTCTCAGGCAGCTGACAGGGAAGGTGTGGCATTTCTCAAGGGTCTGGTGAGGGCCTCCCTCTGCTTCTGCCATGTCCTGTTTGTCTTTCAGTAGTGACTGACTCCTGTCCCACAGCTCCTGCCTGGCTCTGCAGGTGGCTTCCTGGGTGAGCTCAGCCCTTCTGGAGTTCTCTTCAGGCCTGCAGCAGCATTCTTGCCTTTTTGACATTCACACTCTTGTTAGAAAACCTGGTCATTCAGGAAATGAGGATGTGTGCAGAGATCTCTGATGGAGGTCACAGAGCATCTATGGCCATCTCAGTATATGGAGGAGGACCAAGGTGTTTCTTCTCGCTCTTTTGTCAACTGAGAATTCTGACCAGCATTAACAGAGACTCTCCTAAGGCCCCCTTAATGAATGCACTTACACAGCCCTGGGGATGCCAGTGAGGGAAATCATGTGTCATGTAATGCATGGCATGTATGACCAGAGTCACCAAACACTACCTAAACATTGAATTGTTCCACCTCTCTAGGACAGGCAGAAATTTAAAGAATTAACTGAGGACTTCAGGGCGTTAGAGGCCAGAGGAGGAAAACAACTCTGAGGGGAAAAAACCACCATATCTGGAGAGGGAAGCATCGCTGCCTGCTCAAAATCAGTTAAGGAAACATGTCTCTAATCCTCTCCTGAGAGAAATGCTTTAGGCAACCTTTGCACATCCAACTGCCTTGGACCAGAGCCAGGAAGATTCAATTATGTAAATGTTACATAGATAGATAGGTAGGAAGATAGACAGATAGATCTCACTACTAGAATCTCCCTTTACTGTTCTCTCTGTTGCTACACACATCAAAACTTGGTAGCCAGTGTCCTGACCAGCAGCAATTCTGGGATTTCTCTCCTGTTGCTCAAAAACCCACACTCTTGGGAAATCTGGAGTGTGCAGGTTCTTATGGAAAGGGATCAGACACCCCCCCCCCCCCCCCCCCCCGCCCCAGATCATTGCATTGGGAGCTTCTCTCTTTGTGCATCTCTGCTTGGGCAACTTCTCTTGGACATGACCACAAAGATGGTGCTAAAGTAGCTGGAATTACAAGTCCAGCTCAGCCCCTCCCAGCTCCTGTGATCTCTAAGGGGCAGCTGGAGTGCAAGGCCATTGATCTCCTCCTCAATTCCCAAACATAACACACGGTGATTCCTGGGGCTGTAGAAAGTCATAGGCATTATTAAACTAAAAGTGATCATTAAGGCCAAGAAAGAAGGTCAGGAAACACAAAAGATCCATCTCAATCAATATACAAAAAGGGTGTGGAATGCCTTGATAAGAGCAGAAAGGATTGTGCAGAAGCAACCTGGCTTGCTGGAAAAACAAGAAAAGGAACAGGACTTGTCCTCCTTGGAAAACTGTAAACTACAAGACAGAATTGTCAGCCACACCAGTGTCCAAAGCACAGGGATAAAAGAGGGCATATTTTGCAGGGAAACAGCCCTTGTGCTGAGCACTGTAATGTAGGGATCGATGGAAGTCTCCTTGAAGGTCATGCACAAGGCTCCCATTGTCCAGGCTAAAGCTCCCTCAGCACCTCCTCCCTGGCCTTGTGCTGCACCCCCTTGCCCAGCTCCCCTGTCCTTCTGTGCACACGCTGCAGCCCCTCCATGACTCTCTGCTTCCCAGGGCCCACAAGTGCACACAGCACTCCAGCAGTGGCCGCGGCGCTGCCCAGCACAGGGCCACGCTCACTGCCCCGCTCCTGCTGCCCCGCTGCTGCTGACACAGGCCACCATGCCCTTGACCTTCTTGGCCCCCTGGCCACACGCGGCCTCATCTTCAGCTGCTCAAGGCCGCCAGCCCTGCGTCCTTTTGGCCCACGCTGCTCCCCAGCCACAAAGGTGCCATTTTAACCTCAGATACAGCAGGCACCTTTGCAAGATGGGCTTCCTCTTCCGAGCAACACAAGACAGCACTCAAGGACTTACAGCCTCACCCCCACTCTAGGCTGCAAGGCACTTGCCAAACCTTCAGACTGCACCAAAATATGCACCAACAGAAACTGGAGTCTTCTCCTTTTGGCCTCACTAGAAGGCTTCGCAACTCCACACTTTGTTTCTTTGGCTGCGCGGGACAGGGATGGCCTGCCACAGCTGCATGGACCACACAATTCTCCTGCTGCAGCTTATCAAAAGCCAAAAGACAGCTGGCTCACATTAGACTGTACAAGTGAAGAACCACTCCAAGAAAGTGCAGACCGCTTGCACAAGCCAAACACACCTTTCCAAAAAGGGAAAACAAACAAACCAAGGCCTGGCACCTCCAGCACTCCCTCCTTTGCCCTTGGCCATAGCAGCACAGAAGCCAAGAGATAGAGCTTCCCTGAGCCAAGCAGCCAGATGCTCTCCCAGAGGCACCAGCCCTTTGCTGCCTCAATGGGACAGGTCAGAGGCCAAGTTCTGTGGTCGCTGCCTGGAGGAAATCCCGAGTTCCTGGCAGGACTCCAGCACCCAGCATCCTCAGCCTGCAACAGCAAAGCGCTGGCTGCTCCAAAACTTGCAGCTCTGCCTTGCACTAAAGACAGCACCACACACAACTGGCACTTACAGCATCAGAATATCCAGGATCCGGTGTGAGCACTGATGGAGGCCGGCGGTCATCCACCTCAGTTTTCTCCTCTTTGGCTTCTTCTCCAGGAGCAGCGGGAGCCAGGGGAGAGACGGCTCTTGGTTCTGTCATCTGTGGCAGGAGACAAGCACGAGGGAGAGGCCATTTCCTATCATGTAGAACCTCATTTCTTTTTACATCTACCACCATATCTTCTAAGGAAAAGTCATAACATTTCATAGCGACAGAGGGCTTCTAAGTCACAGCCACCAAATTTAAATGGGCCAATTCAACAGAACTCTTGACGGATATGAAGTGGTTTCTCCTGCCTGGCTGCTATCAGCAAGCAAGGTTGTCTCGGCAAAACGGAGCTTTTAGCACTTGAAAGCACTGACGTGGAAACGTAGGAATGCCACAGCAACGCCTTTGCTACTGCTGCTGCAGATGTGGAAAACCAAAACAGGATCAGAATCCCATCCAGGGCTGGGAAAAGCAGGAAATGCTGTGCAGAAGCATCTTTGCTTGCTGGAAAAACAGGAGAAGGAACAGGCCTTCTCCTCCTAGCAAGTCAAGGAGCCAACCAACCACAAGATGGAAGTGTCACCCGCTCCAGTGTCTAAAGCCCTTGGATGCAGTGAGGAGATGTTTGGCACTGAAACAGCCCTTGTGCTGAGCACCGTCATGCAGGGATTGATGGAAGTCTGCCTGAAGGTGCCTCAAGTGCCTCCCATTGTCCAGGCTAAAGCTCCCTCAGCACCTCCTCCCTGGCCTTGTGCTGCACCCCCTTGCCCAGCTCCCCTGTCCTTCTGTGCACACGCTGCAGCCCCTCCATGACTCTCTGCTTCCCAGGGCCCACAAGTGCACACAGCACTCCAGCTGTGGCCGCAGCGCTGCCCAGCACAGGGCCACGCTCACTGCCCCGCTCCTGCTGCCCCGCTGCTGCTGACACAGGCCACCATGCCCTTGGCCTTCTTGGCCCCCTGGCCACACGCGGCCTCATCTTCAGCTGCTCAAGGCCGCCAGCCCTGCGTCCTTTTGGCCCACGCAGCTCCCCAGCCACAAGGGTGCCATTTTATCCTCTGATACAGCAGGCACCTTTGCAAGATGGTCTCCCTCTTCCAAGCAACACAAGACAGCACTCAAGGACTTGCAGCTTCACCCCCACTCTAGGATCCAAGGCACTTGCCCAAGTCGCAGACTTAGGCACAAAACAGATCAGGAGAAACTTGCCCTTTCTTTTGTTTGCACCTTCTCAAAAGCCAAAAGGCCATTGGGCCAACAGTAACTCAACAAGTGAAGAACAACTCAAGAAAACTGCAGAAGATTTCCACAAGCCAAAGACACCTTTCCAAAAGGGAAAACAAACCAACAAAGACTTTTGTCCTCCAGCAGTACCACATGTGCCCTTGGCCCTAACTCTGCGCACGCCCAGAGATGGAGCTTCCCTGAGCCAAGAAGCCAGAAGCTCCGCTGGAGCCCCCAGCTCTGAACTGCCCCAACAAGACAGGTCAAAGATCAATTTCTAGCTGTCACTGCCTGCAGGAAAAGGCCACATCCTGCAGGACTCCAGCACTCAGCATCCTTGGCCAGACACAGCAAGTGCTGGCTTCTCAGAAACTTGCACCTCTGCCTTGCACTAAAGACAGCACCCCCCACAACAGGAACTTACTCTCTTAAAAATATGAGCAGGCTGTGGTGTGACTACGGCTGGACAGAGTTGGTGGTCGTCTTCCTCATTTTCCTCCTCTCTGGCTTCTTCAGCAATAGCAGAGAGAGCCAGGGGAAAAATGGCTCTTCCTCTTGCCACCTGTAGCAAGAGAGGATCATAGGGACAGGCTGTTACCTAACGCTTATAACCTCATAGCTGCTAAAATCCCCTGACAAAACTTCTAAAGACAACTCATAAACTTTGTAACAATCTCATTCGAAGTCACTCCAACCAGATTGAAATGGGAACTTTCAACCGAACTGTATAATGCTATCACTTCAATATAACTCCTTGGCTGCTATTTGTAAGCAATCTTCTCTCTGCAAAAGGGAGCTTTCAGTTCTTGAAAGCTCTGAAAGGGAAAACTAGGAAAGAGCCAGCATGACTCTTTGCTCCTGCTCCACACGACATAGAAACCCAGAAAGGGTTCAGAATGATTTTCAGTATTTCAAGGCTCAGAAAACAGTTCTGCAGAAGCCTACTATCTTGCTGGAAAAAAAGAAAAGGAACAGGACTTGTCCTCCTTAGAAAGCTACAAAACATAAGATGGAAGTGTCACCCGCTCCAGTGTCTAAAGCCCTTGGATGCAGTGAGGAGATGTTTGGCACTGAAACAGCCCTTGTGCTGAGCACCGTCATGCAGGGATTGATGGAAGTCTGCCTGAAGGTGCCTCAAGTGCCCCCCATTGTCCAGGCTAAAGCTCCCTCAGCACCTCCTCCCTGGCCTTGTGCTGCACCCCCTTGCCCAGCTCCCCTGTCCTTCTGTGCACACGCTGCAGCCCCTCCATGACTCTCTGCTTCCCAGGGCCCACAAGTGCACACAGCACTCCAGCTGTGGCCGCAGCGCTGCCCAGCACAGGGCCACGCTCACTGCCCCGCTCCTGCTGCCCCGCTGCTGCTGACACAGGCCACCATGCCCTTGACCTTCTTGGCCCCCTGGCCACACGCGGCCTCATCTTCAGCTGCTCAAGGCCGCCAGCCCTGCGTCCTTTTGGCCCACGCTGCTCCCCAGCCACAAAGGTGCCATTTTAACCTCAGATACAGCAGGCACCTTTGCAAGATGGGCTTCCTCTTCCGAGCAACACAAGACAGCACTCAAGGACTTACAGCCTCACCCCCACTCTAGGCTGCAAGGCACTTGCCAAACCTTCAGACTGCACCAAAATATGCACCAACAGAAACTGGCGTCTTCTCCTTTTGGCCTCACTAGAAGGCTTCGCAACTCCACACTTTGTTTCTTTGGCTGCGCGGGACAGGGATGGCCTGCCACAGCTGCATGGACCACACAATTCTCCTGCTGCAGCTTATCAAAAGCCAAAAGACAGCTGGCTCACATTAGACTGTACAAGTGAAGAACCACTCCAAGAAAGTGCAGACCGCTTGCACAAGCCAAACACACCTTTCCAAAAAGGGAAAACAAACAAACCAAGGCCTGGCACCTCCAGCACTCCCTCCTTTGCCCTTGGCCATAGCAGCACAGAAGCCAAGAGATAGAGCTTCCCTGAGCCAAGCAGCCAGATGCTCTCCCAGAGGCACCAGCCCTTTGCTGCCTCAATGGGACAGGTCAGAGGCCAAGTTCTGTGGTCGCTGCCTGGAGGAAATCCCGAGTTCCTGGCAGGACTCCAGCACCCAGCATCCTCAGCCTGCAACAGCAAAGTGCTGGCTGCTCCAAAACTTGCAGCTCTGCCTTGCACTAAAGACAGCACCACACACAACTGGCACTTACAGCATCAGAATATCCAGGATCCGGTGTGAGCACTGATGGAGGCCGGCGGTCATCCACCTCAGTTTTCTCCTCTTTGGCTTCTTCTCCAGGAGCAGCGGGAGCCAGGGGAGAGACGGCTCTTGGTTCTGTCATCTGTGGCAGGAGACAAGCACGAGGGAGAGGCCATTTCCTATCATGTAGAACCTCATTTCTTTTTACATCTACCACCATATCTTCTAAGGAAAAGTCATAACATTTCATAGCGACAGAGGGCTTCTAAGTCACAGCCACCAAATTTAAATGGGCCAATTCAACAGAACTCTTGACGGATATGAAGTGGTTTCTCCTGCCTGGCTGCTATCAGCAAGCAAGGTTGTCTCGGCAAAATGGAGCTTTTAGCACTTGAAAGCGCTGACGTGGAAACGTAGGAATGCCACAGCAACGCCTTTGCTACTGCTGCTGCAGATGTGGAAAACCAAAACAGGATCAGAATCCCATCCAGGGCTGGGAAAAGCAGGAAATGCTGTGCAGAAGCATCTTTGCTTGCTGGAAAAACAGGAGAAGGAACAGGCCTTCTCCTCCTAGCAAGTCAAGGAGCCAACCAACCACAAGATGGAAGTGTCACCCGCTCCAGTGTCTAAAGCCCTTGGATGCAGTGAGGAGATGTTTGGCACTGAAACAGCCCTTGTGCTGAGCACCGTCATGCAGGGATTGATGGAAGTCTGCCTGAAGGTGCCTCAAGTGCCTCCCATTGTCCAGGCTAAAGCTCCCTCAGCACCTCCTCCCTGGCCTTGTGCTGCACCCCCTTGCCCAGCTCCCCTGTCCTTCTGTGCACACGCTGCAGCCCCTCCATGACTCTTTGCTTCCCAGGGCCCACAAGTGCACACAGCACTCCAGCTGTGGCCGCAGCGCTGCCCAGCACAGGGCCACGCTCACTGCCCCGCTCCTGCTGCCCCGCTGCTGCTGACACAGGCCACCATGTCCTTGGCCTTCTTGGCCCCCTGGCCACACGCGGCCTCATCTTCAGCTGCTCAAGGCCGCCAGCCCTGCGTCCTTTTGGCCCACGCTGCTCCCCAGCCACAAAGGTGCCCATTTCCCTTCAGATACAGCAGGCACCATTGCAAGATGGCCTTTCTCTTCTGCATCCACATCTTTTATATGTAGATAGATATGTAGATATTATAAGATTTTTTAGGAATACATTCCTGAGGTACTCTGACTGAATTTCAATGGTGAACTTCAACTGTACAGGAATTTTCTCCTAGTTAAACACTCCACCCTTTATGCTGTAGGACTCAGCCTTCTCTCTGCAAAACTGGATTTGTAGTTCCTTAAAGCTCTGAGATGGAAATAATAAATTACCACTTATGCTTTTTATTTTTTTCCTGCCGGTATTAAAATGGATTTTCTTTCAGCCTTCCTAGCTCACCTTCTATATTCTACTGTCTCTGTCCCAGCTCACAGCTTCCTCTACAGTGCTTAAACACCAGGAACATGAAATGTGCCTTTCTCACTCACCTCATGATCAGCACCGCTGAACACATGCCTCAGGTGACCTGCAGTGGGCAGGGAAAATGAACCAGATACGTTTAGAAAACATCCTGGGCTGCTGAATTCCACAGAACAAGTCAACCCAAACAGAGATGATTTCCCATTTCGCAGCATCCCTCCAGGAGACATATTTTATTCACATAGCCAGCAAGAGGTCAGGTCAATATTCTTGGTTGTCCCTGCACTTTGGCCTGTTTTGCCAGTAAATGACTACAAACATGACCAAGAAAATGCAGATTTTTCTTTAACACTCAATGTTCCTGTTCTACTAAATACATAAATAGCTTCTAAAATCCTCTCCTTGAGGTACTTTTTAAAAAAATCAGTTGAATGCACCAATTCTCATTTACTTGCTGGAAATGCTTGCCCAGTAAAGCTCCCCCAAAATCCCCCTGAGCTCTGGCAGTTCTGTTGTGAAACAGCAGAGCAGCAGCTCCAGGGTTCTGGAGCAGACCTTCACTGCTTTGGAGTTTGCATTTCATTGCAAAGGAAAGATCTTAGCACTCAGTAAAGGGTCAAGTTAGACAGTCAGATCCTTTCAAGACAAACTGTTGAAAGAAAGAAGCTTTCCCTGAATTCTGGGAACAATTGCAGAGTTTCAAGAAGGCCTTCCAAGATGGTCTGTCAGTCTACATTTTCAAAGGTGTCCTGCTTGTCCCAGCAAACTGAGGAAATGACAGACTCTGCTGCCACAAACTCCCCACCTCGAGGCAATTGAAGCCCTGCATGTTCCCTTGCAAATGCTGCCCCTGTGGCTACAGACACCCCCTTTTTAGCTGAACGACTTGACAGGAGCTTTACCAAACCAGTGGCATCCTAATGCTCTTTCTCTTTCAAAATCAGACACTCAGTCACTAAGAGCGAGCAGGAAGACATACAAAAGCCAGGTTAGGATACACCCTAACCTAAGCAGAAGAGAAACCTCTACTTACGTGCGAAATTCATAAAATAATAGATGGAATATGTAACGCCATATGCAGCAAAAGCTGCAGTGGCCAGATGGTTAATTATTGGCATTTCTGCAATTTCTTTAAAAACTAAAAATTCAAGCCTCTTGTCAGTGGGCAGCTGCCTACTGACAAATGCTACGACCAGGAGGGATCTCCTGATCTCAGCAAACGTTAGGGCTGCTCTGACACTCAGGCCTTCCCTGCACCAAGGCAGCCTCCTGATGTCACTACGACAATGTGGCAATCACGCCTTGACATCACAAAGGGACAGCTCTGTGTTGTCTGTGAGTTTATGCAAAGCAATAACCAACCTTCCCTAGAGCAAACACAAAATAGCCTGGGAAGTTCTCCTCTGTCACAAAGCAGCACAAATTCCCCTCATGGGCCAAACCCTGTTGTTCAGGGGGTCCAACAGGAATTCCAAGCACTGAGTACTCAGTTGGGACACAAGCAAAGGAACCCAGATCAAGAGAATGGCCCACAGCATTGCACATGTGAGAAATTGCTCTCGTTTTAAACATTTTAAAGGTATATTACACAATAACAAAGGAATGAATAAGGAAAAATTGCAGCATTGAGAGTCTCCATGACTATCAGCCATGTGCTCATCTACAAAAAGGATGCTCTGCCTATTATACCCTTAGCCCCTCCAAAAGTTTTGCCAGTCAACTCTTTCTCTGCAGTCCATTAGTGGAGATTACTTTCTTGCATCTTGACTGGAGGTCAGGTGTTTTTACACACTGCCTGCTGGTCACAAGCCAGCCCTCCCCAAATGCCCTGACTACCAAGGGGATTACAAGGGGGACTAGAAAGACAACTGTGGGAGGATCTATTACAAATTCATCAGTACAAATTTGAACATCCACATAACATCTACTACTTAATTGTCAGAGCCAACTATTGCATTACTTGTCTAGAACACACAGAAAAAGGAGCGAAGGCACTGTTGGCATCACAGATGAAATGCTTCCTAACAAATCTGCCCACATATTTGCATATTTATTGGACATGCCCAGGGCTCCGGGGCATGTACATCTCTGCCTTTCTTCCCCTTTGGGAGCAGTCCAACTGGCAGCATCTGCCCACCAGCAGCAGCTGCTCCAAGCTGGGAATGCCGCTGGCAGTGCTGATTTCCAGAGGCTTCTGTGTCCCAGGGGAAGCCAAGGCAGGAGCGGGTTGAACGGTGCTGGCGCTGCTGCTGCTCTGTGCCAGAGAGCCCTGGCTGGGCAGGGCACGGTGCCCACTGTGCTGCGGGCTCCTTCTGCTGCCACAGCAGGGCACACCTGGCAACAAGGCATGACAACTTGTGGGCAGCCCAAGGGGTTTCTGGGGCTGCTCTGCTCTGCACACACCCAGGACACCTGCAGCACTGAATTTTAACCCTCAAACAGGTAAGCCAGAGGGAAAAAGCTAGAAAATATTTCATTTGGACCATTCTTACCTGCTCAACAGAAGTCTTCCAAATGAACGTTACCAAGCAGGGCCCAATCCCTGCTGCCAGCTCAGGGTTAGAAGAGAGGCAATACTTGATTTCAGCACAGGGTGTATGGGGAATCACTTCCCTAATACATGCACACCCAGCAATCTCACTTACTAGTTTGTATCCATGGTTCTAAGACGTATTCAATACTTTGCTGAGACTCACAGGCTAAATATTCCCCCAAATTGTTTGATTTACTGGCTGATACTTATTGAATTATTGATACTTAAATCACTTCTCTGAATTTACTGACATGAGAATAGGAGTGTCCTGTAGGTCCATTCTGGTTTTTGTCAAGGCTCAGAAGAAGACCCCTGCACAAAATAACCCAGGACAAAACAGAACTTGCAAAGCAAATTCATTCTATTAGTTGCAGTAGCAAATAATACATACCAACCCCTGGATTCCTCAAAAAACACTGAGCAGTAGAAGGAGGTGGAGCGTGGTTGTCTGCAGCAGGGGCAGGTAGGCAGTGCACTTTCAGGACATCCCCTGGATGAAAACGCTGTGCATCTCATCCTTCTCACCCTTCCAGCTCAGAACCAGGCCTTGTATCTCCTGCTCAGGAGTGGAATTTCCCAGTTACTGCATTGGCTCACACATGGCTGGCGGTTGAGATGAGGCCAATGAATCAAGGATTTAAAAGAACTGGGAGAGTTAAAATTTTAGCAAGATTTAGTTAGGGGGAAAGAATATAGCAAGAAGAGTAGAAACAAAAGGGGATAATTAATGTTTTGCAGGTAATGTAGTTAAGGCAAGGGTAATATATCACTTGCCTGTCTTTACTATGTTTAAAGAAGCAGGATGGGATGCAGATTTCTTTGTGACAAAGAAGAGGACCTGCACCTGGGCAGGTAGCCTGTACCTGGGCCCCGAAACTTCAGCTATAGCCAAGGGGTGCGAAAGCCTGCCAACAGGTCATAAGTAAAGAGGTCAAATTGAGGAAGACGTCTTGGTCTTCATCAGAAGGAGACCATTCCCCACTTTAAAACCCACCAACCCATTTGAAGTGAAAGACTGCAGAAAGCAAAGGAACTTTGGACTCAATTATAATACATTTTAATATAAAGGGGGGTAGGCAGTGTTACCTAATGAATGTGTGTTGGTTTTTTTGGGAATTATATGGATATGTAAGACATTTTAGAAAAGCAGAGAGACAGCGA